TTCTGATCACTGTCAGTGGCAGGGGGCTTCTTCCTGCTTTCCCTTTCGCCTCCCTGCATTGTGCGTACATATGCAAATTAACCGCCATCTTGTTGGCAGTTAACTGCCAATCTTAGTTAATTTGCATATAGCCCTGATTAGCCAATGAAAAGAGTAGCTTGTACGCCAATTACCATTTTTCTCTTTTATTAGTGTAGATAACAGCCTCCTAATGTAAAATTTTGTCTCAAAACTTGCTTAACTTATATGAGTTCTCCATTGCTTCTACAGATGATGACTCTGCTTCAATTTTTATAGCCTCCAATTGTCAGTCATTAGATTCCATTACAGTTAGGAACTTTGTTTCTTTAGCTGTCTTGCTTTTACCCTGCTGCGAACTGAAGCCCCTTTGCTCTTAAATTTAAACACAGTGGACTCAGGCCCCCACCTGTTGTCCTGTAGGAAGTGGGATACCCTTCCTGTACCTGCAGTTGTCCTGAGGCTTCTGTGTTGTGATTCCCTGTCTCCTGGTTTGTTAATGATGGTATTGCTCTGGCTTCCTGGCTTCTCCTTCCCCGGATTTACTTCTTTCTGCTCTGCATGATCCAGGGACTGAACACAGCCCCCTGCTTTTGATTTCCCCCCAGTCCCAAGCACAACGTCACTGACTGTTTGAAAGGAAATTGACATTGCACCAGGGTAAATACGTGACAGTTGAGGAATAAACGCCTGTGTCCTAAAGGCCCTGCCGTCCAGAATTTCTCACTGATCCTCTTCCTCTGTGGGTGGCTTCCTCCCGTCTCCCCTCCCCAGCTCCTCCTCCTTCCCGTCCCCCGCCCTTCTCCCGCCCCATACACACAAACCTTCCCTCACATCTCTGCTTCTCGGTTTCCCAGGTTTCTTCCCAGGTCTCCCCAAGGAAGTTCAGTTCTCCTCACTATTATTCAGAGCCAATTAGTGTTTACACTACTGGCTCTAGGTCTCCCTTTGAATATGCAGACTCATTAAAATTCTGCTACCACCGCTACAATTCTAATCAAACAGCCAGCTCTTTGGGATCTTCTTTAGCAGTGCAACGTCATTGGTAGAGATTGTGAAATATTTATCTTTTCATTTGTCTCTCTCAAGTATCTAAGTGGGAAGGAAGTTATTTTACTTTGTCATTGATATGAATAGTGATACCCCTACTCCAATCTTGCTGGGGTAGCAGAAAAAGCTATAGACAATCAAATGGGCTCAAAATAGCATTTTAATTTTACCTGGCTACTTACAAGCGAGTATCTACTTGTTTGGTAATTGAAGTAATTTCTGGAAAGCCCAATTGCTTCAAACCATGGTCTCATTGCTCAGTAAAATCTTCATTGATACATTTTAAAATATGCCCACTTTTGTTTCTAATAGGTTCAGTACAAAAAAGATTATGAAAAGGCCAAAGGGAAAATGGTTGGCTTCCAAAGTCTCCAAGATGATCCTAAACTGGTTCATTATATGAATGTAGCCAAGATACAATCGGACCGGGTATATAAAAATGACTATGAGAAGACAAAGACGAAATTCAACATACCCCACGATATGTTCAATGTCGTGGCAGCTAAGAAAGCTCAGGATATCGTCAGCAATACCAACTATAAGCACCCACTCCATCATTACACCTACCTGCCTGATGCCATGGACCTGGAGTTGTCTAAAAATATGATGCACATACAGAGCGATGTAAGTGACATTTACTTCACAAGACAATCTCTCTTCAAGGTCAGAGCCTGCACGAGAGAAGCCCTTTCCTGGGGCGCTCACTCCTCTTTTTTCCCTTTGCCGTAGAATGTCTACAAGGAAGACTACAACACCTGGATGAAAGGCATCGGCTGGATACCTATTGGGAGTCTGGATGTAGAAAAAGTCAAAAAGGCGGGTAATGCCCTGAGTGAAAAGAAGTACAGGCAGCATCCAGACACCCTCAAATTCACCAGCATCGTGGACTCCCCAGTTATGGTCCAAGCAAAGCAGAACACACAGCAAGTCAGTGATGTGAGTACAACAAAACAGAGGGTGCGAAGGATGGAGGGAGGATTCAAGAAAATAAATATTGACCCACTTAAAAAAATTCTCCTGAGCTAAAATCTTTTCCTTAATTTAAAATTAATAATTACAATCCTTTTTAGCTTGATCACTAATGTTTTCTTTTCCTTTTATCTTGGCTTTTACCTTCCTTTTTGAAACCTCTTCCTCTTTAACTACCTTGAAATACTGTGTTATTGGATAAATTGACATGGTGCAAAAAATTCTACTCTACTACTACTACTACTACTACTACTACACACACATACACACACACACACACACTAACCTTAAGCTTAAATCCTAGACACTTTATTGTGGCAAATTTATCATATCCAATTCTATATTAAGTTCCTTATATTTAGTGTTTATATATAATACAGGGAAATAATACACATGAGTATATTATTTTGCACCTCATTTCACCATAGATAATTATTATAGAGACTTTCTTTTTAACTTATGTCTTGGTGGAGATTAGTATATTGCCTGCCTGTCCAAAATTCATATATATAATCTGACTAAAATCAAACCTCATGGAAAGACTGGTGTATAGAAGAGTCAAAGAAACATCAAAAGCACACATTCATTAATTCGTTGAATGAGTGTTTTTGAACACCTTCCATGTGCCAGGCACTGAATTATGTGATGATTGTACAAAGATTAAGTAGACAAGGATTAGTGGGATATAAGCTATAACAAGAATATAGGACAAGAGTATAAGAAAGTCGTGGGTAGAACAGCATTGCCACACAGAGAAATGAATGCTACAGGAGACACACGTGCTCAGTAACTCAAGGGAAGAGGTAACTGCCTACTAGAGTTTCCCTAGCAAATTCGGGAAGGAAAAGCATGACAGTGAAGAAGTAATGAACGGAAGAGCAGGAAGTGCTCAGGATTATAACCTGATCATTGAGGGTTTTGTATGCCAATTTGTAGTCTAGACATTATGGGGTAAGTAGCAAGATGTATTGCATATTTTTAATTCATGGAGTTGCATTATCATGTCTGTGTTTTAAATCTGACAAAAAGTACAGAGGCTGTATTGGAGAGGGAGAGATTGGAAAAAGAAGGTGAATTAGAAAGCTGTTACAGACACCCAACAGAAGGCTTACTTGGACTTTAAGGCAGTAGTGATGGGAAAGGAGGTGTTTAGAAAGTAGAATTGATGAGAGTCTGTGAATGCTTAGAAGTGGTTTCTAAAGTCAGTGAGGAAGTAAGGATAGCTCTGGGATTCTTAGAAGAATTTACTACTATTTGAGGATTCACTTAGATATCAGCGACCTCAGACTTTATGTGTGATACATACACACCAGTTTACACATGATGTTCTATATAGACGTGCCTGGGAAGTGGAGGTATGTATGATAAATAACAATGGAGAGACTGAAAATCTCCTTGTGATTCCTGTTCTAGCTCAGTTTTAGAAAACTGAGCAATTTCTTTCATTTTTATTACCAAGAAGAGGATATAATATGATGTCTTTAAAATGATGAGCTAGGGTAAATCCAAAATGGTAAATATTTTGAGTGCACTGGATTTATGTGTAAGCACCTTCATTTAAAGAGAAAAATTATTATATGCTTTTACTTGTACAATTATAATTGGAAAGTTTTAAGCAGAAGTGAAAGACATTCTAACCATCATTTTCTCTCTAAAAATAACAAACCCAAACCAAAACAACATAAGACTCTAAGAACTATTAGCTCCTCTAGCAAAGAATGAACTTTGCTGGCTTTGGTATAGTTCACGCTAGAACCTATTTTTCATTTATCTTTGGCAGTAAATTATTTCTATTCTCTTAAGGATTCTTTCTCTCTATTATAATACACAGAGTTGTTGGCTCTTCCTAAAGACAACAAGATGCTTGAGTTTCTGAAAAACAGGAAAATACCTTTGATACTTTTGCACAATAGAAATGGTGGGGATTGTGCTAGGAATAACCCCTTTAAGCATGTCACGAATGCATTTTCCTGTTGGTACTATTTGTAATGCCTTTTGTTATTGTGGCTGTGTGTTGCAGATCTTATACAAAGCTAAAGGAGAAGATGTGAAGCATAAATACACGATGAGTTCTGATCTTCCTCAGTTTCTACAGGCCAAGTGCAATGCTTACAATATAAGTGATGTAAGTAGGCTCTTTGATGGGGTGTGAAATACAGAACTGGTGATAAAATAATAGAATTTTAAGGTATGATGGGACCTTGACAATTACTTAGGTCAGCTTTCCACACGGTCTCGGTTGCAGCCTGGCCTGTGATGATGGTTCTGTACCTCTGAGTTGGCCTTTTAAAACGTAGGACAACTTTAAAGAATTCTTCTTCTCCTCCTCCTCCTCCACCTCCTCCTCCTCCTCCCCCTCCTTCTTCTTCTGTACTGAATTTATTGAGGTGACATTGGTTAATAAAGTTATAGGTTTCTGTATTTGGTATCGTGTGTTCACCATTCCAAGTCAAGTCTCCTTCCATCACCATTTATCCCCCTGTATCCTCTTCTACTGCCCCACCCCCCTTTTCCCCTGACCATCACCATAAAGGATTCTTCTTTATGTAGAGCTTAACATCTAGCTCTCTAAACCTCCAATTAGTTTTCCTAATTTTTGCATGTGGAGGAGGTTACTATCCTCCAGAGAAATAAGAATAAAGAAAATCCTAGATCTTACCACCAGACCTTCCCTTGACCTTTCCATAAGACTGAACAACTTCATTTTCTCCAGCTGGTCCTCACATACCCTGGCCTCCAGAACCTTTATTGGATCCTCAAACTGGACCCACTCCAGTTTCTCATGTCCCTCTTCAATATGTGCCCAAACCAGGTCTGGGTGAATAATTAGTGCAGAGCCCAGTAAGTCCATGCTATGTGAAATGTGACGTTTTGCTCTAGGAGTTTCTTTTAGCTTCCCTCTGCAGAGGGATAGAACAATCCCAGCTGTTGAGGAATCACTTCAGTGGATGAATACACAGCATGCTGACGTCCCGTTTCTTCTTCTGTCCCAGGTCTGTTATAAACGGGACTGGCATGACTTAATAGCCAAGGGCAACAATGTGCTGGGAGATGCTATTCCCATCGCTGCAGCCAAAGCGTCAAGAAACATTGCCAGTGATGTGAGTACACGTTCTAGGTGACATCTGGGTGATAGCCTTTTTAAAAAGTAAATAGATGTGTGCTTGTTTAAATGCGATCACATTGAAAACAAGATGTTGAATTCATGACATTCAAACTCTGCACAAAATAGTGTTTTGAGAAACTGTCACTTTTCCATGTTTTGTGATTCTTTTTACTTGACCCCACTTGGTAGAGCTGTCATAATCCTGACAGCAGCTTCTCCCTGATTCATATCCCAAATTACCTCCCCTGACACCTTCCCTGACAGCCGCATTTATTTTCGGTGAGAACATCCTGACTGACACTAACACATTAAATTCAGGTGCCTGCCTGCATTGTAATTGCATTAAGACGATTGAAAAGATGTTCTATAAAATGTACAGATTTTATTTTTGGTTTTTTTGTTTTGAATTTATTAACAAAATTATACAGGTTTCAGGTGCACAGTTCCACAACACATCATCTGTACACTGTACTGAGTGCTCATCACTCCAAGTCAAGTGCCTTCCATCACCATTTATCCCCCCTTTACCTTCTTCTGCCTCCCCCCAGCCCCTCCCTGCTGGCAATCACCATTTTATAAATCCAATGGGCAAGGAACCACTTTTCTAGAATGTAATTTTGATTTATGTAATCGATGCCCATTTTATCTATAACAGAAACAGCATACACTTATTCTTCTTCCCATAACTGAAAAACAACATTTTCACAAAGCATACCCCCTCTCCCTTCATATCTGTCCCCCTCCCCCACTGCAGACTTCACTGTTACACACCATTCCAAAGACTACAATCTTGGTTTGAGGAGAGAAGAAGGAAACCACACATGTGTGCAGGCCACAGGGGAGATGGGTGTAAGAATTCTAGAGCTTTTTCTTGTAGGGCTGCTACTGAAAACAGCTCCTCAGAGATGTGCACATCATTGTGAAATGCATTTCTAGTTTTAGGAGGAAGTGAAAGTCTAAAGCATGACATTCTCTTCTCTTTTTTTGTAAGCACTTGCACCGAGCTTTTCCTAACATGCCTAGAGATTACTTGATAATCCTTTTGCCTGCCAAACTCCTGTTGATAAATCGGTGCTTAAACAGCAGAAGCTGCGTATCTGCAGAGTTTAGGTGGATTTGAATTCTTTTATGTGGAAATTGAGGCTTTGACCTGTTACATACAGTGTAGCTCAATCTACACCACATTGCCGATCCTAGCAGTGAGAGATTTGGGACAGCACAGCTTTTAGATATCTACTGGTGGGGAAAGCTCATAGTGGTCCCTGCCCTCAGTGTAGTTCAGGGGTCCTCAAACTACGGCCCGCGGGCCACATGCAAATACAAATATTGTATTTGTTCCCGTTTTGTTTTTTTACTTCAAAATAAGATATGTGCAGTGTGCATAGGAATTTGTTCATAGTTTTTTTAAAACTATAGTCCAGACCTCCAATGGTCTGAGGGACAGTGAACTGTCCCCCTGTTTAAAAAGTTTGAGGACCCCTGGACTGTAGTTCCTTTACTCATCTTAGCTGCTTCAGGAGAGGAGCTGCTGAGGACTGGGGTGGGTGAAGACTCAGCTACTTACCAGTGCAGCATCTAAACTGATGCTCCCTATTAGGTCAACCTGAGACAGAAATCACAGTAATGATTTCCTCCCCCACCCCAAGACGATCTGAGTGCAAACATCTCACATGTAGAGTTTTATTAGAGTTTCTTCTGCACCTGTTGTTTACCTATTACTAGGCCATTCGGAACAGAAAATGGGAGGTTTTCTCAATAATTTCTAATAATCTGTGATGTGCAATAATATAATGGATTAGGTGAATTCACATTGCTAGAAAACCAGGAGATATGGGCCTTACATTTGGAACATGTCATGTTTATAGTAAGTGTGAAAATTCAGTTGGCTTTAAGTAAAGTTCTAAATGCAAGTCATCTATAGTATTGATAACAAAGAAAAGAAACTGGTCCTGAGTGTATCATGACACCCACTATAACACAGAAGTGATGGAAATAAATACTATCACTCTGAACTTTCTGGGGAGTGTGTGTGTGTGTGTGTGTGTGTGTGTGTAGGGGGCGGGGAATATGGTTTGCTTTTGTGTGTGAATAGAGCTGCTACACCTACTAGTATCATTGCCTAGGACTTTGCTAACCAAGTTCCGCCTCTGCAGTATAAATACAAGGAAGCTTATGAGAAGGCCAAGGGCAAGCATGTGGGTTTTAGAAGCCTCCAGGATGATCCCAAGCTGGTCCATTATATGAACGTAGCCAAGCTGCAATCTGATCGTGAATACAGGAAGAACTATGAGAACACCAAAACCAGCTACCATACCCCTGGGGACATGGTTAGCATCACAGCCGCCAAGATGGCCCAGGATGTTGTTACCAACGTCAATTATAAACAACCGATACATCATTACACATACCTACCTGATGCCATGAGTGTCCAGCACACCAGGAACGCGAATCAAATTCAGAGTGATGTAAGTATGTAGGACAGAGCAGACCCAGAGAAGCTGGTACTTAAGGGATAATCTTTTCTTCCTACTTTAGTAGACTTCACAATACAGTAAGATATTTGGGGGGGAAATGTACTTTAAAATAAACAGTCATTATTGAAAGATTAACAAAGGCATGGTGGACAAGCTGTGTTTTTGCTGGCTTTCTGCACTCCTACTGTCGCCATTGACATTGCCTTTATTAACTTCTGGGTCACAGAGAAAGCCATATTCCACTAAGTCGATAAGCCACCTTAATCCTCAGCAAGAGGAAATGGTTGCTCCTGGGGTGCTTTCTTTAATGGTGATACGTATAAGGCAAAATAGGAGCATTCTTTATTCTTTCTGAATTCAGCAAAGTTATTTTTTGACTTTTTTTAAAAAAAAACAGAACTCAAGGTCACACTCTCCTGCATGTAAATCTGTGTGATGAGTCATCTAAAATGAGCCAGGAAGGCTTTGTGACTGCAGCATGATTCACGGGGAGCTGCGGAGGGAGGTGTTTAATATTCAGGGCTTTTCCTTCCGCGGGATCCAGATGTCTATAAGAATCGTCCTCTGTGAAGGGAAGAAACGGCGTTCCTTTATTGTGGCTCAATGCAATGTCTCTCCCCAGCTGAGATCAGGAAGAGCCTAGGTGGACAGTGTGGGTGAAATTCAAAGTTGGGGAGTTTTCAGTGAAATCAAAAGGAAAGCCCAATTTATTGTCAAAAGAGACAATATTTTTTCAGCAGTAGCCGTGGAAATATGTGGCCCAGATCCTCTCTGTGTTGTATAATGCCCCCAAACAACAGCACTGCTGTTTCTCATTACCAAACTCTGGGTGAGAAGCTCCGTGACAGACATAACCATACCTTCCACTACGGACGGGAGCGAGTTGAAACGGTTGCCATTCATTTCCCCTGCAGAGGATTGCAGATTGCACAACCAGTGCTTGGCTGTCCTCTGGGACCTCTCCTCATATGAGCTTGCTCTTTTACAGAATGTGTATAAGGACGACTATAACACCTTCTTCAAGGGCATTGGCTGGATCCCTATTGGTTCCCTGGAGGTTGAGAAGGCCAAGAAAGCAGGCGATGCATTAAATGAGAGGAAGTACCGACAGCACCCAGATACCATCAAGTTCACAAGCGTGCCCGATTCCATGGGCATGGTTCTGGCTCAGCAGAACACGAAGCAGCTGAGTGACGTAAGTGGCTTCCCTTCGGAAGGGTGTGTTGATGAATGGCCCCGTGATAAGCCACTTCACACCCTTCTTAATTCGCTACGTGAGACTGCATCTATGTTAGCAAATCAGCTGCTTTCAGAGGGCATGATCAAAAGGTTGTACTTTTGAAGCACCTTTAAACTTGAACATCGGTAGAACTGGGAGGGGAGAAGGAGACTTCCAAATCTGCTTTATTTTCCCAAAGTGGAGAGTCTGTGCTATTCTTGAGACGTATGGAATGAAATTAGTATTATTATCTATCACTCGGTCTGAATTGCAGACCAAGCTATTTTATTGCTCTGAGTTGCAACAGTTCTACTTAGCTTCCCAGGGAAAGGGCATAATAACGTCCTCCTCCCCGGGCACAATAGCTGGATGTTGTGAGAGGCAATCTAGAGAGAGGCCTCTGGGAAGGAGATAAGCAGTTTACTTCCAGAATCATCGGGAGTCACCTCTCTGAGCTCAGGTCTCGCTGGACCCTTAGTCTTAGTCAGAGGCTAATTGCAATACTCAGTGCTTCACCTCATTTGGTAATGTCAGAGTTCTCTTAAAAGACCTCCACCCGAAAGAGGGAGGTAAGTAAAAAGCAAAGAAGGGAAGACTGTGTTTTTAGCCCCTGGCTTCACCACTGATGCCTCTCTGTGTGAACCCTGCACCCAACACCTCTGCTGAGTCAGTCTCCTAGATCTCTCAGCCGTCCTGTCCAATACCTCTCTGTCTTTCAGCCACCACCAGCCTAGTTCTGGCCCCATATCTCTCCTGTGGACAACTATAGTCATCTGGTATCTGGAGTCCATGCCCAAGGCACATACTACAACCAGAGAGACCATCTTAGCTCAAATCACATGCCTCTTATAGTTAAAACCCCTTAGTAACTCTTGAACTGAAAATAAAATCTAAACATATTAACTCATCTGGGAGGCCCTACTCCCCATCCTGTCTGAGCTCTGGCCCTCCTCAGCCCCTCCAGCCCCGTAACTCCAGCCCCTGTAACCCAGGGCTGCCTTCGGGGCCTCTCAGGCCACACCCTTTCCAGACTCAGGGCCCTGAATGCTCTTCTTCTGCTTGGACCCCTCCCTTATCTTCAATTACCTCCTTAGAGAGCCTTTGTTGACCACCCTTGTTTCTTTCCTAAAGTTATTTTATTTACAACACATCATAAATTCTAACTCTACCTTGTAATTCATGTGTTTATTCTCTGTCTCTTCTACTGGTCTGTAAGCTCCAAAAGTACAGGTCTGCCCTTTTCAACCCTTTAAACACAGAACCTACCACCTTACTTGGCCCACAGCGCTGTCTAATAATTATTGGTGAAATGAGCCAATGACTACACTACTAATAACCCCTCTGTAAGATAGTTTAGGTATTTGCCTTATATAGGCACACCTCATTTTATTATGCTTTTTTATGCTTCGAAGATACTGGGTTTTCTACAAATGGAAGGTAATACCCTCCACCAACAAAAAGATTAGGACTCACTGAAGACTCAGATGATGATTAGCATTTTTTTAAGCAATAAAGCCTTTTTAAATTAAGGTATAAACATTGGTTTTTAGACATAGTGCTATTGTACACTTCATAAATTATAGTATAGGGTAAATATACCTGTTATGTGCACTGGGAAACCAGAAAATTCATGTGACTCACTTTACTGTGATACTCACTTGATTGCAGTGGTCTGGAACTTAACCCACAATATCAGTGGGGTAGGCCTACGTATGGAAAAACACAAATGACAGTCTTGCTTTTTAAGGGAGTATGTGCTTAAGGAAACCTACATTTTGTCGGCTAATGGTGTTTGCATGCTGCCTCCTTTGTTTTTAGTTGAACTACAAGGTAGAGGGGGAGAAACTGAAGCACAAGTACACGATAGACCCCGAATTGCCTCAGTTTATTCAAGCCAAGGTCAACGCCCTCAACATGAGCGATGTGAGTACTTTCCCTGGTGATAGCCTAACATTGCTAATGGGGGCCTTTCCTTTCCAGTTCTGGGTAACGGTTGAACTTAGAATTTTAAGGGAAATAAACTGAGTTGGGCCCTATTGAATTTCTCTTAGAGAAGGTCATAGAGAAGCTGTGACTTCCAGTTGGCCCTTAGCTGGACCCCCGGGCAATTGCAGGCTATTCACCCACTCCCCTGTCCTAGGAATGTATGTTCTGCCTATTTCCACAATGGGAGCCATTTTCAAGGCCATGGCCTTACGAGAGCAATGTGTTGTTGAGACCACCTGGATGGTATGAGTGCCTAAACCCTGTTAGGGTCTCTATATAAACTCTTAAGATTCTGGCAGGTGGGTGTGGAGATCTACTATGCGGCTACCGAAGACAGACCTCATACATAGGCTCCCTTGCTTATGTACCTACCAATCTAGAGTGACCTGCCTCTTTCTTCAGTCCCTCCTTGCCCTCTGTGTACAGAGGCCAATCAACAGTCCTCAGATCAGACTCTTATTCTATATAATAAAAGGTTAATGTGCAAATTGACTGAATGGAACGACCAGTTGCTATGATGTGCCCTGACCACCGGGGGGCAAATGCTCAATGCAGGAGCTTCCCCCTGGTGGTGAGTGCACTCCCACAGGGGGAGCACCGCTTAGCCAGAAGTCCTGAGCCAGGCTTACAGCTGGCGAGCGCAGTGGCAGTGAGGGGAGCCTCTCCCACCTTCATGGTAGTGCTAAGGATGTCCAACTGATATCAATCAGACATCACCTGAGGGCTCCTGGACTGCGAGAGGGTGCAGGCTGGGCTGAGGGATCCCTCCACACACAAGTGTATGAATTTCATGCACCAGGCCTCTAGTTATAGAATATGAGGCTACCATAACATTTCATTTAATGCAGGCTTTTCCAAACTATGGGCTATGACTCATTAGTGAGTTATAAAATCAATCTAGTAGGTTGTGTTCCATTAAAAAAAAAAAAGAACAAAATGGGATAGCCAAGATAGGAAAATACAGTAGTGCATAGTCTGTAGTAAGGTTAATTTTGCTTTATTTAACTTTTGTTTCAGTTATTTGATAAAACTTCTAAAAAATGTTTACTGTCATTTTCTTTAGAAACTCATTTTGTATGTAACGAACATCTCTCTCAGGTAGTCTAGATATCTAATTGGTAGTGATGTTTAAATTTACTCTTATGAATTGTTTCCTTTTGCTTGGGTTGTTTTTTTTTTTAAGTTGGTAAATTCTAATTTAAAAACATAATCAAACCTTAAGAAAAGTGTTAATTTCTTAAAAGATACCTTAGTCACTCTTCCTAAATTTTTAGCCTCTCTGGATCTCCAAATAAACATTTTTTTGGTGCTCATTTCTATGCTTTTGGTTTACTTAGAATTTTTCTCTGCTGTTATAAGTAATATTTAAACATGAAGGTCAATTAAAACTGGATGGTAATACATCTGAAATTTTAATTTTAATATTAAATGCCTTTCTGTAAATTAAAATGTTTTATTATTAAAAGTATAAGAAAATAAAACTATTACATGCTTATAACAGAAAAGTTGGAATTATGAAAAAATTAAAATCTGTCATTCCACATTTAAAGCATTACATTTCAGTTGCTTTGTTATGCCAACATACACATTTTTAGAGCAGTTGAGATCATACTGTGTAGTTACTGATGTTTTTTAAAAAGGCTCTGATAGATACATAAAAGATGAACTAATAGCCCCAACTCCGCAAATTCTCTCAATAGAAAGGTGTAAAGTATGACATGTTTTATAAGAAAGATTTTGGCATCTTGTTTCATTCTTTTAATTTTGTTAAATAATAAAATAATATTTCTTTTTTTTCAAGGCTTATTATAAAGCAGACTGGAAGAAAACTCTCGCTAAGGGTTATGATTTGAGAACAGATGCTATTCCAATTGTTGCTGCAAAAAGTTCAAGAAATATTGCTAGTGATGTAAGTCTAATTTGAAAACAGTAAACTTTATATTTTCAAAATCTTCACATAGAGGCTATATGAACTATATATTAGAAACAAAATTAAAAAGCTATGATATTAAAATACTTTTCTAGTAACAATGATTTTTTTACACTGCTTCACTTTAAAATATTTAAAAACTCAATACAATTGTTACAAATAAGAAAATTATTTTTTAAAACTGTAAAATATTTGAAACTTTCATTGTTATGAACTTGAAAACTGATTTTTATTTTGTCAAGAAAGAAAAAGCTTTCGTATACTAAAATGTCACTAAATTGGAAATGTCTCCAACTGTTTTAAAAAATACAATTTTTATTTTATTTTTAAATCCTTATTTGAGGATTTTTTTTCTATTGATTTTTAGAAAGAGTGGAAGGGAGGGAGAGAGAGAGAGAGAGAGAGAGAGAGAGAATTAATTGGTTGCCTGCCACACCTACCCTGAATGACCAGGGATGGGGACCAAACCTACAACTGAGGTGAGTGCCCTTGACTGGGAATTGAACCTGCAACCATTTGGTGTGAGGGCTGATACTCTAACCACTGAGAAAACACGCCAGGGCAAGAATACAATTTTTAAATACTATAATTTCCACACAAAAATTGATGAAATATGAAAATCCAGGCAGAATTATAGATTCAAATGAGATGATTTTAGTTATATACTGAATTCAATTTAACACATTAATTTATAATTTTATATGAATTAATATAATATGTTGATAGAGTTAAAAACTCTATCATTTGTAGTCCCATAAACTAATTTGTATAAGGGCATTGCAAAAATTTACTCAGGATTATGCAAAGACTTTATAAGATAATGCAAAGTAACACTGGAAACATATAATAAAAAAAATACACCACCTAGTGTGGCTCAGTGGTTGAGTGTCAACCCATACACCAAGAGGTCACCAGTGCAATTCCCAGTCAGGACACATGTCTGGGTTTCAGGCTCAATCTCCAGTAGGGCATGGAGGAAGCAGGAGATCATGTCTCTCTCATCAATGTTTCTCTCTCCCCATCTCCCTTCCTCTCTCTACCAAATCCTTAATAAGTAAAAATTTCAGGAACCTTTGAACATATTCAAAGAATCTATTTATGAATAATCTGGGTATAAACTATAAATTATTCCATTCTTGATTATCTTCAGAGCATGTTTAAAGACCATCCATTAAAAATTCTTTGCTAGTTGTTTCTTTAACAATGTTAAAACACTAGATTCAGAATGGATTTATCTATTGCTTAATTTTTTAGCTAAATGCAGTTTAATACTTTAGTATTTCCTACTCTACCCTATCAAACTTCTGTCTGCCCTTCTATTTCATATAGTTCAAATATAAACAGGCCCACGAGAAAGCCAAAGGCAAGCAAATTGGATTTCGTAGTCTTCAGGATGATCCCAAACTGGTTCACTACATGAATGTAGCCAAAATGCAGTCAGAGCGTGAGTACAAAAAGGGCTATGAAGCCAGCAAGACCAGGTACCACACACCCTTGGATATGTTCAGTGTGACGGCGGCCAAGAAATCTCAGGAGGTTGCTACCAACACCAACTACAGACAACCCTTCCACAACTACACTCTGCTGCCCGATGCCATGAATGTGGAGCATTCCAAGAACGCGATGCAGATTCAAAGCGATGTATGTAACAATCGGCAGATTGTTGGCATAGAATTATTCATTTCTAGTTGGCAGGGGGGAAGAACAAGAAATAGGCAATTCCACTCACTCCACCCTACACCTGGCTAGGCTCACTATAATTAGGGGTCCTCTCCAGAATTTGGAGTTTTAGGCTTTTACTCATTTAAACTATATGTAGCTTCCTTTGGGGGTTACTATATACATATTTTAGAACTTTGGATGTTGTACCCAATATATGATGTATCCTTAAAAAATAGAATCAAATGAGTACTTTATAATGTGTTTTCTAGTGCAAAATTCTGTTCACTATCACCCCAAGAAAGTTAAATTTTTAAAGGAATTATTGGGTCAGGATTTCTTGATAGATACCACCATGAATGTAATAGCTTTTATAATTAATTGTTTTCCAAAAGATAATAGGGAATAAAAAGCCAGTTATTCTCCCCCAGCTCCTTTTTTCTTTCTTTTTGATAATGATTGAATCCTCTAACTAAAGAAACCCATGCCCTGACTCTTTTTGAATTCAAATTTTCCTTTTATATTGTAAAGAATCTATACAAATCCGACTTCACCAACTGGATGAAAGGGATTGGCTGGGTCCCCATAGATTCCCTAGAAGTGGAGAAGGCAAAGAAAGCAGGAGAGATTCTTAGCGAGAGGAAGTATCGCCAGCACCCTGAGAAGCTGAAGTTCACGTACTCCATGGACACAATGGAACAAGAACTTAATAAGAGTAACAAACTGACTATGGATAAGGTAAGAACTCACCTCCTGGCCTCAGCCCCAGAACCCTGAGTGCTCATGCCCTTGAGCCTGGTGCTGCTACGATGACCTCTGTCGGCATTTTAATCTTTCTGATGGTCCTGGTGGTGGTGGTGGTGGTGGTGGTAGGAGGGGCATTCTGTATCTTTTGTCATGTCTAGAGATTCTCAGTTATATTGACCCTTGGGCTGTCAACACCATGCTGAGGGTGGGACAAAAACTAGAAAACGTACATCATGTGGGGTTGAGGCAAGATGTCATTTGTTGTTTCAGTGGAAAAGGATTCCCTCGTGTGATCATTTTCGTCCTCAGCGTGTGCCTAGCCTCATCACCCGGACTCTTTTTGAATTCAAATTTTCCTTTTATATTGTAAAGAATCTATACAAATCCGACTTCACCAACTGGATGAAAGGGATTGGCTGGGTCCCCATAGATTCCCTAGAAGTGGAGAAGGCAAAGAAAGCAGGAGAGATTCTTAGCGAGAGGAAGTATCGCCAGCACCCTGAGAAGCTGAAGTTCACGTACTCCATGGACACAATGGAACAAGAACTTAATAAGAGTAACAAACTGACTATGGATAAGGTAAGAGCTCACCTCCTGGCCTCAGCCCCAGAACCCTCAGAGTGCTCATGCCCTTGAGCCTGGCGCTGCTACGATGACCTCTGTCGGCATTTTCATCTTTCTGATGGCCCTGGTGGTGGTGGTGGTAGGAGGGGCATTCTGTATCTTTTGTCATGTCTAGGGATTCTCAGTTATATTGACTCTTGGGCTGTCAACACCGTGCTGAGGGTGGGACAAAAACTACAAAACCTACATCATGTGGGGTTGAGGCAAGATGGCATTTGTTGTTTCAGTGGAAAAGGATTCCCTTGTGTGATCATTTTCATCCTCAGCATGTGCCTAGCCTCATCACCCACTCCTGCTATTTCACCCATTTTCCAACATCAGAGTTAATTAAGCTTTTCCCCGGGGAGCTGTGAGTCTCTTCCCCTTGCTAGCACTCCCACACACTGGCCCTGCTGTGCAGTCACGTGCCTGCCCTTCTTGTTGTAGAGGCGCTACATTGAGAAATGGAACAAAGACAAGAGAATGTCTGTCTTTTACGTGCCAGAAATCAGGATCCTCATCCTAACCCAAATGAAAAGATGCTGACGCTTTTCTTTCCTTTTTTTCTATTTGATCACTTAGAAACTGTACAAAGCTGGTTGGGAAGAGGAAAAGAAGAAAGGATATGACTTGAGGCCGGATGCCATCTCAATAAAGGCTGCAAGGGCCTCTAGAGACATTGCCAGTGATGTAAGTGCTTCCGCTGGGCTTTCCTTAGGCTGAGCGGAGTTTGTGTGTTTTCAGGAGCTGCAGTCAGCTCTACCCAGGGTTGGTGGGACCATCGTCCCGTGTAACACACAAGCCACGTCCCTTCATTCAGTCCAAGGACCCTCTAATCATTTGTCCATTATTTAAGGTAAAAATTGGGTCTTGTTAAAATAAGTTGCTTTTAAAGTATTCTAATCATTTATAGGCAATTCTAAACAAATATAGAGATGAAGCTATAGATTTTACCTCGGCCACCCCTGACCAGGCTTTTCCTGAATTTAACGATGCAGCATGAAACACTGTGTCTGCAGCCTTTTCTGCTGGTCAGACAGCCGAGTGGGAAGAGCTGCTTTCTACAGCACCCTGGACAGCTGATGTCCGCATTGCTTTCGTTAATTCTGAGATCTCTTTCTTTCCATGGACCTACATCTGGCACGGAATTTGAAATAAAAAGATTTTGCTCCCTGCCCCCTATGAGCTCTTTTCTTTCTAGTTTTAGGGTAGCTCTAAGACTAAACCTATGACAAAGCTGAAGGCATCTCGTTTATTATATTCTCGTTCTTCCACTCTCTTCATCGCCATGTTTGTCTTTTCTGTCTACAGTTCAAATACAAGCAAGCCTACGAACAAGGCAAAGGGAAGCACATTGGCTTCCGGAGCCTGGAGGACGACCCCAAGTTGGTGCACTTCATGCAGGTGGCCAAGATGCAGTCAGACCGGGAGTACAGGAAGGGCTATGAGAAATCCAAGACGTCCTTCCACACGCCCGTGGACATGTTCAGTGTGGTGGCGGCCAAGAAGTCTCAGGAAGTGGCCAGCAACACCAACTACAGGAATGTGATCCACACCTACAACATGCTTCCTGACTCCATGAACTTCGAATTGGCCAAAAACATGATGCAGATTCAAAGTGATGTATGTGACAGCCATGCCATTTGCAGAGCATTTACTCTGGAAAATAAGCAAATCAGTAATGACCATAGTAGTGACATTTTGAAAATCCTAAAAGAAATTCATGCGTAATTTCCCAATAAGGTGTTTCATTTTTTACCTTAGGTTAAATTTATTTATTTATTTTTAACGAAAAGGGATCATTTCTAGAAGAGAAAGTCTTATTTTCTTCCATTATTGCTGTGAGCCTTGTTGGGTGCTGGATTTCGCAATGGCAAATGAAATTTGGTTTCAGAAAGAATGTGTTGAAAGACGTATGTTTAACAAAGAGAGTCAGAGGCATGAAAGGCTCCTGATAGGAGCATGAGGGAAAGCAGAACCTCAGATGATGTGATAGCTCTTGCCTCTCGCTCCCAACCAGCATTCATTTAACTATGTCCAGCTTTTGAGGAGGTGATGGCTGAAGCAGCTTATTAGAATGAGTGTGAGGAAGGCACAGACAGTAGAGAGCCAAGAATTCAGCTATAGAGGACATCTGGTGGCTAGAGAAAGTGAATTTAAATTATAAACCAAAGGCAGGCCCCAAACCTGTATTTCCCTTTGGAAATGTAAAAACTGAGCTATTATCTCATATGTATAATTTTATATATGCCTATGTAATATAACCAATAGATGTAACAAATAGATATATGTAATATATATATTGTTACATAAATATATTACATATAAATATATTACATATATGAGGAGGTACATAAGTGCCCAAATGAAAGCAGCCAAGTACACAAGTGTAGAAGAAAATGTCAGAGTTGAAGGGAGAAAAATGAAATTTGTGCAAAGTACCAGTGAGGTTTCCAATATACCTGAGGGAATTGTAACCGTGGTGACTGATCAAAGACTTATAGCAAAAGAGAGAAATGGGGTCCATAAGTCATCTTAAGGGAACTTAAGAATTTTGTAAGAAAGTTGGCCAGCATAGTCACGGTTCTTGAGATAATAGTAACTGGTAAATTAATATACTTGGCATTTTTAGCACTTTTTCTTCAGAAAGGCATTTAGAAACACAAGTCACAAAAATATTACTGCTTGTTTTTAATTCCTCATGCAAGAAAATGCATAAAAGTTGAAGTTTAGGGATAAAAATAGTCGAAGTTCAATATACTTATGGAATATCAAATACCCACACGTGTTTCCTGGAAGTTTTGATTTCTTCTGGAACTTCATCTGGTATCAGGAAGAACCAGGCCATATCTTATATTTAATCTTCAGATTTTCCTGACAGTTTTAGGGCATCATAATTAATGTTTACTCTACCTACAAAGAGAACCTTGTAATTAAAAAAAAATTAGTCTTAATAAGTGCCCCCACCCAAATGTTTCATGAGCCTCTCTACCCCATAATGCAAATCTTGAAAAGGGTTCCCTCTAAGGTGAGTTTGAGTAGAAGTTCATGAGTTTGAATCAGAAGACTGCCTGATAACAGTTGGGTTTTTTGCACCCTACCCTGCTTCCTAGCTGGTTGGTGGGATCAGAGCAGACTCCTAGATCACCTGGCTATAGCAGCATTCTGAGTCAGGGCCTTCTCTGGGCAATCATGAGAGCAATTTTTCTCCACCAGTAGTTCCTTGGATTACTAATAATTCCAGCCTTTAGAAAAGCCTTAGTGTATTTCTTAGTTGTAAGTTGATATCAGGATGAACAAGTCATCAACCTTGGACATCTGTTTTTAAGTTACAAATAATAATATAGTTGCAGAGCATTGGCGATATTATGTGGATCACAATTTGCAATGCTGTTGATTAGAAAAAGGGAGAGCCCGACCTGTGTGGCTTAGTGGTTGAGCATCGACCTAGGAACCAGGAGGTCACGGTTTGATTCCTGGTCAGGGCACATGCCTGGGTTGCAGGCTTGATCACTAGCAGGGAGCATGCAGGAGACAGCCAATCAATGATTCTTTCTCATCACTGATGTTTCATCTCTCTCTCCCTTTCCCTTCCTTTCTGAAAGCAATAAAAAATATATTTTAAAAAATTTAAAAAAGGGGGGAAATTATTTGGACTGTAACATTAAAGAGTTGCAGAAAATGATGGTCCTAAAGATAGAGCTGTATTATGTTGTCTCTGAGTAAATCCCCTGGAGTCTTCTGAGAAAACAGATTTGTCAAGAAGACCAACCTCCTGGAAAGGAACTTGCCTAAGACAAGGCATGACTTGCCATGCCCTTTTTAACATTTAGAATTTAAACTATCACAAGCGTACATTTATTTTTAAAATATTAAAACTTTCATTTTTTTTCTTCATTGTTAATGATTACCATTTCAGAATAATGATACCAAGATGAGAATCATAGAAGTAGAAAATGCTAATACTGAGCGATAGCTTGGTGATCATCAAGTTGAATCCTTTCATTGTAGTGTTGAGAAAACCATGGCCTAGTGAGGCAAGGCACCTCCCCTAAAGATACACAGCAGGTTAACCACTGAGCCTGGATTAGAACCAGACTCTGAGGACCAGCTATTGCTCTTTCCACTAGGATTGTGCTAATACTACAGCCACTACATGTGGCAATTTAAATTTAAATTAATTAAAATGTGATATGTTTTCTCGGGCTGCTTTTGAACTACAACAGCAGAGTTGAGTAGCTAATGACAGAGATCTTCTGACCCATGAAACCTGAGATATTTACTGCCTGCCCCTTTACAGGAAAAGTTTACTGATCCCTGGTCTAGAAGAAGGCTCTAGAAGTTTTGTTTTTGTTTTCTTATTAAACTTGTCTAAAACAGAAATAGCAGTTTTTAACTATCAGATTGCAAAGATTAAAAAGTTGTTATATAGAGTATTTGCAAGGGAGTTCATGTTAATGTGAACTTCTAATCAACATATTTTTAATATTTGTTAAAAATATTCACAAGCCCAATACCCTACAGAAATCCCTATATATGTGCAAAGACACACACACACACACACACACACACACACAAATATATTTTTGCAGATTAGAATCTCCAAATAGAGATGCTGAGATGCAATTTACAGTATGAGGCACTTTTTGGGATTCGGTGCCTGTGGGAGGGAGAACCAGGCAGAAAGAAGAGTCTGACTGTGAGGCCCTTGAGTGTCTGTGACCTGGCAGATGGGTCCTGCGTTGGCCTAGCCATTCACACTTTGATGAGTCGCTGGATGTGGCCACCACTCTTGAGTGAGGCAGCAAACGGTGCAGCAGGTGACAACTGGAGGCTGTCTGCCAATGTTTGGGGCAACATGTTCTAGGTCCACCACTAAGACCATGGCGCCATGACTTGTAGAAGACTGCAAACAACAAATGAAACGCTCTCAGCAAAGAACCTACTAAGTCAATTGGGTTACACCTCCTCATGGGATAGTAAGCTTTTTATATAAAGTAAATTATTTTAAGAGGCTTAAAAGATCTCTAACCTGCATTATTAAGTAAAAAAGGCAAGATGTAGATTATTATGCATATATGTCCTCATTTATATTTAAAAAGGACTATATGTAGACTTTAATATCCTAGAAAATTTTAGAATGGAGATGCGATCTCCAGGCTGTCCAATAAGAGGATAGGACATTTTCTTTTCTATCCTAAGACATCCTCTCCATTGTCTTGTTTAAATGACCACCTTTTTATTTAAACTTTATAAAAATAAAACCTAACTAATAAAATACATAAAATATTGATATTTATGTACAATGACATATATGTACTAAGCAAGTATCCTTGTAAGATATTGACTTCCACTGGGGTTTTTTGTTTGTTTGCTTTTACTTTCTAGCACCTCTACAAACAAGCATGGGAGGCTGACAAGACCAAAGTCCACATCATGCCCGATATCCCCCAGATTATATTGGCAAAGGCAAATGCCATTAACATGAGCGATGTAAGTACCATTACCCCTGTTGTTATCATTCTTTCCTGCCTATTTGAAGCAGTAAAAAATGAATTAGCTAATCAATATGACTTCATTATAAGAGTAAATGTTTTGAAAGTAAGAGTGGGGATCCAAAAATGAGAATCTTTCTCTGTCTTGCTTTGCAAACTGTTGGAGTTGAACCGTGGATGGAACTCGGGCCCAGCAGTTGAAATTTGAAGGGCAGGTCCATTTTGTTTTAGGGGCAGGTCCTCCTTCTCAAACTAAGATACTTGGCAAGAAGAAAAGCACTTGTGGGCCAGGAGAAGAGAAAAAGGAAGTGAAAATCCTAGGGCTTCATTCTTAGAATCCATCCACCAAGCTTTTGAGATGGTTCTAAAGAAGGGGTCTGGGGAGAGTTAAATGGAAAAGGAAGATGCATGTTTTGAAGAATTTGGGCAAGCCTCATAAAAAGAAATGTACAACACTTAATGTCAGAAAAAGCAGAGGTGATTTATTTCACTTCCTTTCTCATCCTAACCATAGTTGCTAGGAAATCCTCTAATTCTGCCAGGTTTTATTTTTTTTTTCTTTCCTTTGTTTGAATTACATAGGGATTTGAAATTGCTGTCTTCTTTTTGGGTTGTAGAGTCAAGACAATTATATAAATAAAAATATCAACTGCAAAACAATGAAATTTTTTTACTGTAAGAATGTGGCTGTTTTGTAGTCATCCCTGGACTCTTTTTTGATAAAATGCATCAGTAAGAATCTACTGGGCTTTCACATTTTTTTTCTATCTAAACTTTTTATTCCTATTTGATTTATTATTTTTATTATTTTTTTCTTTATTGATTAAGGTATTACATGTGTGTCCTTATCCCCCCACACCCCCACTCACATTTTTAAAAAGCATATTTATAACTTCATAGAGATGGAGAACTTTTACTTTTTCTGGTAATTTCTTTTTTCTTTTTTCTTTCTGGTAGGTTCTTAAAGATACGTATGAGCTTATAATTGATTTTTTTCCAAACACAATTATGTTATTTGTGAGAACATGTAGCCATTGATCCACCAGGGAAACATTCTGTTCAAAAATAAAAACAATTCTAGATTAGTTTTTAAAAATAAATCTAGGCTTACCTATTTGTAAGAAAACTATTCCCTGGCCTCTCTTTACAGAAACTCTACAAACTTTCCATGGAAGAGTCTAAAAAGAAAGGCTATGATCTCAGGACTGATGCCATTTCTATCAAAGCTGCCAAGGCCTCAAGAGATATTGCAAGTGATGTGAGTCTGAAGGAGAGCAGTCCCCTGGCTTGGGGGTCCTAATCTACCAGAATAGTAACAGCTCAGTTCTGGAGAAACTTAGTGCTAGAGTATGGGGCGTCGGGGGGTGCCTGCTAACAAGAGCCTCATTCTATCCTGTGGATGCCTCTTAGCTCTGCGCTTTTGTTTTCTCTGGTATTTCTGGGGCGGGGGGGGGAGGGGGGAGGCGAGAATCCCTAGTCACCAAGGCTATGGCCTGTAGAAATCCAAAGACTTCTACTGTTCTTGCCTCTTAGGATCTGTCTTCCTAACAGGATGTCTCATGAAGTGCTGTGCTGGGGATGCTGATGACAACTGATTGTTAAATAATCGGGAATTGTGCAAACCGGTTATTAAACTGTTGGTAGCTTGACATCAGCCACAGTGGGAGTATTTACATCACAGAAATTGACAAAGATGACAATTTAGGGTTTTTCCCCCCAGGGAGCTGGTGTACCCGCACACCACTGCCATAATATAAGCTTTGTGAAACTCAGTTCTTTCACTTGCGTGTTTGTCCAAGAAATCCACTCATAGTGAGTGCTGAATGATTTGGGGGTAGTGAGAGAAGCACATTTCAGAGCAGTCTTTCCTTTGCCACCCCCCAGTTATACTTTGTCTTTCCTCTATCGCTGTTCTCCGCCTCTCCTGTCCTCTCATTTGCTATAATCTCTTATGAACTGTAGGCCTCTTTAACACTAACAGCAGACTATGTGTGGAAGTCAGTATGGTGTATCATCATAAAATCTGGCTTCTAATCCTTAGTGACCTGATAAGTCCCTCACCTCTGGCTCTCAGCTTACTTATCTTAAAAAGGGGCAATAACTTTGCTATCTATCTGGTAAGGTAGGGTTGTATCTAGTTATACAAATAAATGTGGAAAATGTGTTTTGTGAACTGTAGAATTCTATACAAGTATTACTTGTTATGAAGTACAGAATGCTGACCCTTGAATGATTTGAATTGCTCTGAATAAGTTTTCCAATTTTCTTCACAGTATAAATATAAACATAACTATGAAAAGGAGAGGGGGAAAATGGTTGGTTTCCGCAGTCTTGAGGACGATCCCAAGTTAGTCCATTCCATGCAAGTGGCTAAGATGCAGTCTGATCGGGAGTACAAGAAAAACTATGAGAAGACGAAGACCAGCTACCACACCCCTCCCAACATGCTCAGTGTCACGGCCGCCAAGGATGCCCAAGCCAACATCTCCAACACCAACTATAAGCACCTGATTCACAAGTACATCCTCCTTCCAGATGCCATGAACATCCAGCTGAGCAAGAATATGAATCACATACAGAGTGACGTAAGGCTCTCTCCTTTCTGGGCGATGGGTTGCTAGCATGGGGAGGGCTCACAGTCTTCTCTGCCACACTCTGTGTCTAAATTGGTAAGGTAAAGTAGATTTGCCTCTTGTCTTTATAGAATGAATATAAGCAGGACTACAACGAATGGTACAAAGGGCTTGGCTGGAGTCCAGCCGGTTCCCTAGAAGTGGAGAAGGCCAAGAAAGCAACTGAATATGCCAGTGATCAGAAATACCGCCAGCACCCTAGCACTTTCCAGTTTAAGAAGCTGACTGACTCCATGGACATGGTTCTTGCCAAGCAGAATGCGCTTACCATGAACAAGGTAGACGAAACAGCCGTCCTTCCGTACAGTCCCGAGTGAGGCGGAGCTAGCAGCCTCTGGTTCTTGTTTGGGGTGTTTGATTCTGGTTCACCACTCCTGGGCCGTGCACAGTTCCAGAGCACACCCCTACACCATTTTCTCCTGCTGCCTACCCGTATTTTTATTTCTCCTGCCCTTCTAATTAAGTTAGAAATTATTTTTTAAATTATTATATCTTAAGTATTTTTTATTTATCATAGAAGAAAACATTTAAAAGGTTCTGTTTTAAAATCTGAGTTTGGTTTCGGTGTCTTCTCTGAATTATATGCTACTTTAGTTATAAATTAATTTAATTTAATTCAAATTATGTGCATCCTAATATTCTGCATTTTTTTTCTTTCTGGTTTGTTCTAAAAGTTATTCCAATTTCAAATGCTTTTTTTTTGTTTTAACTTCCCAGCAATTATACACTGTTGATTGGGACAAAGATAAAACCAAGATTCATGTGATGCCTGATACACCGGATATTTTACAAGCCAAGCAGAATCAAACAATATACAGTCAGGTAAAGTTTATAAAAATTGGGCTCAAAATTAATAAAACTTATTAAGTGATATAATGGTAAATAACTGATGTAAATAAATGCTAAAGCCTTGGAAATAAATGACACAAACTGGCTAGCCTAGGGATGTTGCAAAATGTGGATAAAAGCAAAAGCTTCAGTTATGATTGTATGTTCCATGGAGGCAAATGCTGTACCTGTTTTGTTTTTCTCAGTACTTATTGTGTTTGGCAGAGAGTAGGAAATCAGTAAATAATTATTGAAAGAAAATATTATATCAAACAGAACTGGTGTGAGTTTTGGTTTTGCCATTTATAATTTGTATAATAGTGAATCTAAACCAGCCATGGGCAAACTACGGCCCGCGGGCCAGATCCGGCCCGTTTGAAATGAATAAAAATAAATTAAAAAAAGACCGTACCCTTTTATGTAATGATGTTTACTTTGAATTTATATTAGTTCACACAAACACTCCATCCATGCTTTTGTTCCGGCCCTCCGGTTGAGTTTAAGAACTCATTGTGGCCCTTGAGTCAAAAAGTTTGCCCACCCCTGATCTAAACCTTAGTTTCCTCATCCCTAAAATTGGGACCATAAAAGTGCCTATGACGTTGAATTGCTGTGAGGGCCCAGTGAAAAATTTCACGTAAGGCTCTCAGCACAGTGCCTGGTACATAGTACTGGATGGCTTTCAGCTGTTTTTATTATTATCCAGTTTTCACACACATGCTTCCATTCAATGAATTTGACTCAGAAAGGTTAACTCATTAATTGCACCTTACAAAAGACATTTCATCATCTATTAGCTTTATTAGATAATCAATATTTTGTCACCTGACTTTTTGTTATCAATTATTTTAACATCTGTGTTCAAAATATGAGTACATAGCATGGGAAAGTTACAGGATATATCTGATCTATGCCCAATGAGTGAACAGAAAAGGCCATACTCACTTATACCTGGGGAAGAGGGGTATCTCAGAGCCCCAAAACTGAAGCCAGACCATCTGATGGTTAGTCGGTGCCCTATTAAACAGCTCGTTTTGTTTTTATCCCTATCTTTAGAGAGGAAGTAGATGATGTTAGGTTCACCCAGATCTCTGTTTATTCTCTAGGTAAATTTCAGGAATCTGTTGGGGTTTTAATATACACTGAATATTAAATAATCTCTTTAATTTTCAGAAACTCTATAAACTTGGATGGGAAGAAGCTCTGAAGAAAGGCTATGACCTCCCAGTTGATGCAATTTCAGTACAGCTGGCCAAAGCTTCAAGAGACATTGCTAGTGATGTAAGTCCTACTCTGACTTCTATAAGGATGTATTTTTATCGTTAATGCCTCATTTTGTTAATCCCAAGAATTAATCACACAAAAATCAGAGGACATTGGCTGTAGAGAATAAATTACCAGAATTTCATAGGGAAGCACAACCTCTTAATCAAAACCTTTAAAATCAGACAAAAGAAGAAATAGGTTTGGAGAGAAAGACTTTCTAAAGACAGACGCTAACAATAAATTCTAAAAATATAAGAGAAGATTCTCCCTAATCCAATTAATCTGTGGCACTCCAGGAGTGTTGGAAAACTAATTAGATAATGTATTATTACCTAATTTCTGGCTTGAAAGTCAATACCTAAATAAAATGAATCAATGTGGTGATGAAACTAGAGCAATAATGGCAATAATGATGATTGTATGTCCCCCGGAATATAAACTCATTTTCATTTACTGTTATGTGCTCCCCATAAAGTAAAGATAGCTTAGGAACTGAAGAAATGCATTAATAATTTTCTAACAATGCAACATTTGGTAGTACCTGTTTTCTTTCCATGTGAACCTATGGTTAGAAACTTTTGAAATCTTATCCCAAAATTAAATTAACTATAAGTGAACTTTCCCACCATTGTAGAGATTATATCTCTTTTTGGTTTCAAATGGTTTTTGTATCTTTAAAATTTAAGAAAATTAAAGCTATTTTTATAAATACTTAATAAATTAAAATCATAGAATTTAGAGTTCGAAGATAACTTAAGGTTATTTAATCCAATCTACCTACTCAATGCTTTACCTTCTCTCCATCTCTAACACGTGGCTATCCCGTCTGTGAATACTTACAGAATATAAGGATTTTTGTGTCCATTTCCTTGTTGGATCATCTGGAATTGTTATTATATGTTATCTTACATGGAATTTAACTATGTTACCCATCAGCTCTAGTTCTGTGTTTAGAAACACCACAAAGTATCTTATTTCCTCTTTTACCTGATATCTCTTCAAACATTTGAAGTTTCTTACTTATTTATTCTCCTTTGATTTTATAATTCCTTCAATCTCCTGATCATTCTACTTGTGATTTACTCTGTGGGGTTTTTTTTGGGGGGGGGGGGGGTTGAGGTTTTTTTTTTCAAAACCCCTCTCAAATTAGAGTGCTTAAACCTTGGTGTTGTCTTCCTGTTACAGGAGGTCAGGCAAGAGTAAATGAGCTCCTGACTTGCCTTCGTGTCTCTACGGAATCTGTGATGCTACTTTTTTTTATAAGCATTTTGTCAGATTGCCCACATAGAGCTTATAGTCAACTTGACCTCCCGAGCATTTTTAATATACATAACCATGAAGCTGGGTGTCAAAAGAGAGTGGAATCTACTTCCATGAGGTGTAATATGTGCTCAGCATCTAATATTATGAAAATGCTACTACTACTATCTCTATTATCATTGTTGTTATCGTCATCTGGTATTAATGCGATTTTCCCAATTGAATCTAAATACTGGATTTCACTTTTACTTTCTGAAATTCATGTAGTTCGTTTTGATCCACGTTGGCAATATGTTGAGATCATGTAGAATTGTAGAATTTTTTTCAAATCTAACATATGTAGCTGTTTTTAGCCATATGTGCATTAAGAAATCAATCCTGAACAGGACAAATTTATATGACAACCATATGGCGAGTCACTAAAAATCCTGGTGCTTAATTAATCTACACCATTAGGCCATTCATCAAGTCATGAATCTTCTGAAATTTTGCCATTCAGCCCAATCTTTCCCATTATTCCATAAGAATATCATAAGTGCTTTATCAAACACTGCCTTAAAGTCAGCATACACTGCATGCATGTAAGCATAACCAATGGACATAAGACACTGTGGGGTAGGGGAAGGCCAGGGGATTGTCAAGGGTGGGGGGGAAAAGGAGACATATGTAATACTCTTTGTAATACTTTAAGCAATAAAACAATTTAAAACAATAAAAATAAAGTCAGCATACACAATGTATTGGAATTAATTTCTCGCTGCAACCTCTCTGGATATTCAATTACATTACATTTCTGTGAAAGTCTCTGCTTAAGGTTTTACATTTCTTACTACGTTAACATAGACACACTTTCTCTCATTTCAGTTTTCAAAAACAAACATACAACCAAAGCGAACTGAATTTAACCTCTGTTTATGTAACTAAAATAACTGTTTCCTCTGATTTCAGTTTAAATATAAACAAGGCTACCGCAAGCAACTCGGCCACCATATTGGATTCCGGAGTCTGCAAGATGATCCAAAGCTTGTGCTGTCCATGAACGTGGCCAAAATGCAGAGTGACAGGGAGTACAAGAAGGACTTTGAGAAGTGGAAGACCAAGTACACCAGCCCAGTGGACATGCTGGGGGTGGTCCTGGCCAAGAAGTGCCAGGCCTTGGTCAGCGATGTGGACTACAAGAACTACCTGCACCAGTGGACGTGCCTGCCCGACCAGAACGATGTTATCCAAGCTAAAAAAGTTTATGAAATACAGAGTGAGGTCAGCTTCTATTAAATCTGATCGTTTATATATGACTTCCTGTCTCATAGGAGAGGCCATTAGTTGCAGAGAGACAGAAACTAGAAAGAGGAATTATTGAATATCCAAAACAGATCTGTTTGTGAATGCATAGACTCTCTTGAGTCAAGAGCCCTGAGGAGGATGGGATTTTGAGCCTTGCTTTGTTTTTTCACAGAATGTGTATAAGTCTGACCTCGAGTGGCTGAGAGGCATAGGATGGAGTCCCCTGGGTTCTTTGGAGGCGGAAAAGAACAAGCGTGCCTCAGAAATCATCAGTGAGAAGAAGTATCGCCAGCCTGCAGACAAAAACAAGTTCACCAGCATTACTGATGCCATGGATGTGGTTCTGGCAAAGACCAATGCCAAAAATAGGAGTGATGTGAGTATAATTCTTTGGAAACAAATGAAATAACTTATAGTGCCTGATACTTGGTAGGTGTTCAATATAACAGCAGCACATCACACAGATAGCACAACACGGCATAATGTTTTATATTTAGTTGCTTCATTTGAATTATCAACTACCCCACACTAGATCGTGTAAAAATGGGTATCAATTTTTGTGCCCCAAAGCTTGTTTGTTCATTTGTTCAAAGTGTAATGAGAAACTATAAAACATACTCTTTTTTTGAAAGTTGAGTGCATTGAAACCCCAATGCACTCAACTTTAAAAAAAAAAGTATGCTGTTATTGAGGTATAGTCTATAAAAGAGAGATAGCCTCAGTACCTTGCACCACAGATACAATGAAAATGTTGTAAAGAGTTTATTTTCTTCCCAATAATTATTATGCATTTTGTTTAGCTAAAACATACATAAACATTTATATATAAATGTGTATCCCATCTTTAACTTCCTTCTCCAGCACTGACACCAGTAGCTGGCACATACTAGGTGCTCAATAAATATTTAGTGAATAAATAAAGGAAAGATAGCATATAGAGTAATTCTAAAGTATAACCCTGAAAATTATGTTAAGTTGAATAATGTGCACTGAGATTCTGGAACTTGTAAGAAAGTTTAAATTAATACATAATAATAATTATTTGGGTCTTAGAAGAATCTAAATATATATAATATGCTATATGTTTTACATATGTCAGACATATTAGTTTTCACAGCGCCCCTCTTCCTATTCTACCTACCTCTCACAGATTTCTTGAAATTTTGGTATCCAAAATTTACAGTAAATGCTGACATATCAGCTTTATCATGAATGTTCAAGCTTTTTTTATGATAGAAATTTGAATCCAACTAGCTAGCTCATAAAGCAACAAAGTTATGGAAAATATTTCCCCTTTTGAGTCCAAGTTTCTTTTTTCTCCATGAAGCAGGCCTGTGTACAAAGCTCTGAGCTAATAAGGTGGCCAAGAGAAAAACCCTGGGTCATGAAATTTATCAACATCAATGCCTCAGGACAGACCTGTCAACAGTGCGCCCTGGTTACAGACATGCTGAGCGATTACTCCCCTCAGGTCTCAGGAGAGGAGCCCTGAGGTTCTGGAGCCTGCTGTCTCTCCTTTTGAATAGACCAATACATCTCCCTCAAAATAAACAAATATTAGCATTTTCTCTGTTTCCATGGAGTAAAAGTGACACATGCCATTAAACATCTGGCCCGACTTAATGGTTCTCAACCAGGAACAATTTTGTCACACAGGGGCATTTGGCAACACCTAGAGACCTTTTGGGTTGTGACAATTTGAGGGTGGCATGCTACTGGCATCTAGTGGATAGAAGACAGATATGCTGCCAGCATCTCAGAATGTATGGGACAGCCCCTTCCCGGACGCACCCCTACAAAGAATCATCCAGGATATAGCTAATAGCGCAGGTTGAGAAACTCGGATCTTAATCAGAAAGGTTAGCGCAGAACCAGGAAAAATGTATATGGAAATTCACAGGCTTGCTTGGTTTTTGCCCTTAAGGTCTTAATTACCTTCTCTGGGTTATATGGACTGGAGTAAGCATGGTCAGGAAGGAGAAAAGTGCCAACCCCACACACTCCATACTGCGTGCCTCAAAGGGAAATACATAAGTCCAAGAAACCAATGATACTTTCAAAATTTTTTATATTGAAATAATTTCTAGCATACAGAAAAGTTGCAAAAATAGCACAAATAATTTTACAAATGCTTTTTTTTCTCTCTTTCTCCTCTTTCTTTCATCTTCACAATGCCACTCTATCCCTAAATACTTCATTGTGTGTTTCCTGAAAACAAGAACATTCGAAAGAACATAACCACAGTGCAATGATCAAAATCAGGAAATTAATGTTGAAACAATGACAGTCTACAGAATTTATTCACTTTTACCACTAATGTTCTTTAGACAAAATTTTAAAAAATTTCTGATCCAGTATCCAATCAAAGATCACACATTGAATTCACTTGTCATGTCTTTAGTCTTCTTGAACCTGGACTCGTTTCTCACTATTTCTTTGTTTTGCAAGTCCTTGACATCTGAGAAGACCACAGGCCAGTTTATTTTATAGACTCACTCTTAATTTGGGTTTGTATGGTGTTTCTTCATGATATGATTAGATTCAAGTTTTGTATTTTTACAGGATAACACATGTTGTATCCTCCTCCATACATTATACTAGGAGATACATGGCATCAATTTGTCCCTTTACTGATATTTTAACTTTGATCACTTGTTTAAAATAGTGTCTCCAAGTTTCTCCACTGTCATTACTATTTTATACTTTGTCATTTATGAGAATGTAGAAAGACTCTCTGACAAGGTTAACTTCCTAGTTTTAGCAAATCAGTGAGATTTTTGTTTGGATCCCTTTATCTTCTGTGAAGAAAGACAAAGAGAATGGCTCTGGGATGTACAAGGATTTTTGATAAGTTTTCATACGAAATCTTTTTGGGAATCCTAACCCCCCCCTCAAATAATTATGTGGTATGACTGTAAATAATAAACCACAGAGGAAATGAGGCTCCCTAATTTCTAGACATACTGGGACTACCAGTATGTCATCCTTTCAGAAAGCAAGGGCAGTCTCCCAATGAGGGAGACTTTTACAGTCTAACAGATGGGGAATTGCTGCTCCATTTGATGATCTGGGCAAAGGCTCCCATTACTTGGGTTGACTTCTTATAGGCAGGGTTATCTGTAACTTGGAAAAGGTAATCCATAATCTCTCTTTTGAAAGGCAATTATGTCCCAGATAAATCAAGAAATACTGGAGCTGTTTTTTGCGTATGCTATCTGCTTATGCTCTCAGTCATAAGGCTTAATTCAGATGAATTCAGTAATCCTGTTTGAAGTTAACTATGTCATTCACTAATCTAACAACTCTTATTTCTCATTTTAGAGACTTTATAGAGAAGCCTGGGACAAGGACAAGACTCAAGTCCACATCATGCCAGATACACCTGACATTATGCTGGCTAAAGCAAACTTAATCAACACAAGTGATGTGAGTTTCCAATTCAGCATGTGTTTTAAGAAAGTTCATTTTAATTGGTTCTAAGGCAGTACATTTATTTGAAAGTTCTATGGAATGCCTGTATTATTTTCATTAAGGAACTACATGTGACTTATATTCCACATTTAGGGGTTTTAGCTTGAACATCAACATAATTGGCACTCCCTATCTCAGGCAGAGGGGGGATGTGTGCTGGCTGTTCCTTGTAGTCCATCATTACATATATCGTCATAATGTAAGGGTTTATATCACTCTCCCCCACATAGATAGGAGCTCCTTGGGGGCAGAGACAATTACTATTGGATCTGCAGTGCTTTACTAGTAAAGTGCCTGACACACACAAAATTCAATGGAATTTCAAATGAGTGAGCATAAAAAAAACTCATGCAGGACCATTTCATTTTTATTTTTATTGTCAACATAGCATAACCTCCTGAAGTTGTTAGACATAAAAATTAAATATGTTAAAGACAAATTCTAAACTCTAATAGAAAGACTTTAATATGAAGCAATGTACAGTATTAAAGAAATGCCACAAAGAGAAAACTATCCTATATAATAAAACCCTAATATGCAAATCGACCAAATGGTGGAACAGACCAAGATGGCGGCATAGGTTAACGCCGGAGTTTGCCGCCTCGAACAACCATTTCAAAAGTGAAACTAAAAGACGGAAGGGACATCACCCAGACCCACAGGAACGCTGGCTGAGTGGAAGTCCTACAACTAGGAGGAAAGAGTAACG